TTTGTGGGATGCAAAACATAGTTCTGGTTCACCCCACCTGCCTTTCCTCTCTATTAAATTGTCTGTGTATCACTTGTTTGTAACCAGAAGATTTTGTAATATGCTGGCTTTCTCTCTGCTTTGTAACAAAGGGAAGACAGGGACTTTCCTTAACTATTTAGATTTGATCTTTACTTCCTTACAGAGATGGGAACAATGCATATTTATTTTCATGTATAAGTTTGATAACACAGAGCTGGTCATTTTCAGCACAAGTGAATAAACAATAAAGGAGCAGGGGCTAAAATAATAGATTTTGCTACCTCTTTCATTACTTATCTGACTATTTGATTTGACAGAATATTAGGTAGCATTGCAAAATGTATTTAAATGCTCTGAAATATATATTGCTATTAAGCTTTGATAACATATTACAAGTGTTTCTGTTTGTTTAAATATACTGATTTACATTCATTTATGAGGGTAAAACCAGAATGTCAACAACGTTTAAAATGAATCAATTTCTAAAAGGATTTGGATTCATTATGATGAAAAGGCCAGATTAATTACTTTGTTTTAAACATTCTATAATCTTAATATAATTATCTTTTGATAATTCCCAGATTCCCAGATCCATGTGTCATACCCACTTTAAGGGCATAAAACAGGACATATACACAAAAGGGACAGACTCTTCATCCTATTATTACTTAATTAACTAATCTTGAGAAATCAATGAGTGCTGAGCTTTGTTCTCAAATACTTGGCTGTGTCTGTATCTAAAACAAGAACTACAGCAGCAGAGATCTTCCCAGCAGAATCTCATAGCTCCCCTTTTAGCTTATCTAGACCTCCTAGTTCCCAGCTCAGCCCACAAAAGAAGAAAAAAAAAGATTTTCCAATTCAGCTATTCCTAAATATGTAGGAGAAAAATTATCTTTAAAGAAAAGCCAACCTCATAAAAAGGACCTTGGGCGCCTATGTAAAGTAATAAACTATCATGACAGTCTCACATTTTCTTCTTCTGAGGAAAACCAAGAAATCTTATCTTTATAAGAGAGGATCAGACATCTTGTCTGGAGATCCCAAATAAAACTGGGTATCAGACACGTAAGACTAAGATTAAAATATATATATACTTATATATAGGGCTAGATTCTCTTTCACACTAATCTTTCACCTCTCTTTGGCTGACAACATGATAAATGCCTACTGATACTCTCCAGTATAGTAGACAGGGCTATTGAGGGATACATTCGGGCAGACAAGAAAATAACTCATCTTGGACATACTTATTTGGGTTTATTTATTCTAATACTCTGACCATTACAGCCCTATATGAAAACATGCAAATATCTGTACTAGTTCAGACCAAGTTTGTGTACTGCCTCCAACAGTAAAGGGTGGAAGAGTGAAGAGAGGGCAAGTGTCTCTGATATTTGTCTCTTCCTTCCAGTGGCTTTAGCTCCAGCTATTTTCAGCTCAAGGAAGTCACGGATCCTTTTATGGTTTGTTTATTAATGGCCTCTGTAGGTCCCTTTGAAATGCCTGTTTGTGTTGTAAATATCTTGCATCCACAATAGTGGCCAGTTCACACCAGTTCTCCATTGCATGGAGAATACAACATAGCACCAGCAGAGAGTATCCAAAAGAATTGCAACTTTTTTAGTATCAGCAGATACAGGATATATTTCTCAAGGCATTAGTTCCTATTCATATAAGAAAAGCAATAATATTCTTCTCATATGCTGGTATATGAACCTCTGTCAAGACTATTTTGAGACATTCACTTGAATGCTGAATGGCTTTAAAACCTCAGTGCCCTTCTGAACAAATGTTCTTTCAAGTATTTAAAAAATGATTCATGCCCTTTATTCTACTGCAACTTTGTTTCTAGAAAATGTACCTACATGAGCTAAAATGCCCATGTTTGAATTATCCTGGAAATGGCTTTGCTTTCTCAGTCCATAGGCAGAAAATCTACAACAGTATTAACATTTTCAGATCCAGACCTCACAAATGCATCATCCAGGAAAAAAAAAAAAAAAAAAAAGAGAGAGAGAGAAAAAAAAAATCTCCTACAAAACAAAAGAACGCTTAAGAGATTAATAAACATAACTCTTGAATTTTTACCATTTTACGGATAACAGCAACAAATCTGGGTGTTTTTTTACCATCTTGATGATTAAATCATATATACATATAGTAGTAAAAAAATGTATAATGCCCAAACTCTGTGCCATTAAGTACTGAAAATAACCCTAAGTGTCATATAAGGCAAATGGTAAAGTTATAAATGCCTACAGACTAACTCCTAGGAACCTGAAACCTCATTAGGCAATAGCCAGCAATAATTCATATGAATAAAAATCTAAATCTGTAGTTTTTTTTATTGTCATATGTTGCAGTCATTTGGGTATTGACATCTTTAGCTCTGTATTAACCTAGCTGCACCTCAACGAATGCACCTGAATGTTTATCTAGAGAAATTTTTCTAGAATCAGTATCTTTATTATTTTTTTTACGCCACAGAAGGCTGAAAAATAATCCAGGCCCCATGAAGTTCCTGCAAAGCAGCCTTTCAATACAGAGCTTGCAATCTGTCTCCCATTCACTTTGTCAAATTATGGTCCACATATCAGCCATTTGTAATGGTGATATATCTATCAAGCATTATGTGGTAAGATTTCTTGCACGGGAAAGCCTTTTTTTAGGATTTTAAAATGTTCAGAAGGCCTTATTCTAAACATAACAGAATGAGTCACACCAAGCAAAATTAAGCGATTTTTAATTACATTAATTTCTTTCCCCTTGTTTTTGGGAGTTTCTTCTTCGTCGTATTTTCAAGCTTTTCTCCATGGCTATAAGAGATATAAACTTTATTGAGAAATACAAATGGAGATTCTTTTGTAATTGCATGGACAGACAGAACTTGAAGGATTTTTTTTTTTTTTGGTCACATTAAACTTAAATTGTGTTGAACAGATAACTAAGAATCTTCAGAGAGATTTTTGCTCAAACAATACCGTAAAAAAAAAAAAAAAGGCTTCAAACTTTTTCTCTCCAGAGTTTTTAGTATTACTTTAAGTATATTTTTAAGGTAACTAAGCTTTACTGAAGTGAGGTTGTTAGATGTAGAGAAGAGAAACTCTTCTCTGGAGAAGAGGACTCTTTACGAAATCAAAATATCTGAGACATTGATTATAAATCCTCACCCAAAAAGTGATTTGCCTGAAATCTGTGATTTTTTCCCCCCTTAAACTTAAAATGTTCTTTTTCTTCCAATAATTGTGAGAGACTTTTGTGTGAAAATGTGCACTGCATTTCTTCTTAAAAGTTCTTCAGATTCCAATTGTTTTGTGATGCAAATGTTCATGAGCTCATGTGGTAGATATAAACATTCCTACTAATCTTGACTGGTTTGGAAGTCACCTATTTTGTTTTTATTTAATGGAGAAGGAAAAGGCATTCCTTTCTTTACATAAACAACTTCTTTGCATGGAAGTATTTAACTCTGGCATCTTTGTGGAGTCCATTCC